ATGGGCAAGAATTTTATTAAGTCTATTCTGAATATAGATAGTTGCCTTATTTGCTCCATTTTTAATCCATGATAATACACAGCTGCTGTCTGTAGCGTAAATAATTTCATCAAATTTTATGGAATGAGAATTAACTATGCTATTCTTAAATTTTACATTTCTTGCAGCTATATCCAATTCCAATTCCGGGATTGATCTTTTTTGCTTCATTGGTACAATAAAACTTTTACCGCTGATGATTTTGACATCCAGTTGCTCGTTATTTTCACCCAAAATTCGAATATATGCTACAGAACATAAAGATTCCTTACCGGCATCACCAAAAATTATCAGTTGAAACTTCTTTGCTAAATTTATAGACAGGGAATAACATCGTGGGATTTCAATTTTAAATATTTTAGGGAACCATTCCAGAACTCGTTTCCAATAAGGTATTTGCTCTTTACTCATTATTTCATTCCAGTCAAGTTTTGCTTTACACATCCAATGATATATAAGCTTCAATTTTGAAGTAAAGAACATGTAAATACCAAGTGGGTCGTAAATCGACATGAGACATTTAAGAAGCTCTTTTTTGGTGGGGATTTTACTACCGTTTAATAAATCTGGATTTAATCTTTTACTTAATTCAGCCAACTTCATAGAATCATTTATATAATTAAATTCATATCCAAGAATTTTCTCGTTTGTTGCTTGCACAAACATTTTACCGTTCTTTTTTTCATCATGTTCTAAATCTTCTTTTACTTTTAAGAGTATTTGTGGATCGTTGGCATACAATTTTACAAGATTTAAACCACTTTCTTTAAGCATTTTCCTAGCATGATAAATTATTTCTCTTCCTAGTGCAATGTCGTTGAAAGACTTAATAAAATCGTCTACGTACATGTTTTGTCTGACTGCATCAGATGCTTGAGGGCATATGATTTCATATTCATCAGCAATTTTATTTTTAATAAATTGTGAAGATGCTGGTGCACAAACGGCTCCGAAAATCATTCGTTGCATCTCATAATGCACAAGTTCTTTTGTGTCACTATCTGTGAATACAAATCTCTGCGAGCATTTATCTTCATTTCTTATTTCGATTCGGTGGAACATTTCCTCGATATCTGCTTTAACGAAGAATTTGCCTTCCCGAAATTGCATTAAAAGGGATGTTAAATCAGCATACATATTCGGTCCTGGGTAAAGGTAATCATTTAATGATTTACCGTTTACTTTTGCGGCCGCGTCCCAAATTAATCTCAATCTTTTTTCTTTTTGATTTGATATAAAGATTGGGAGATAAAATGTGTTAGGCTTGACATCTTTTATTTCATCAAGAGTTAATTTCTTTGCATATTGTTTCTCTAACAAGTTATCAATCTGTGCTTTAATATCCGACAATTTTCCAATCCTTAATGCGTGATTGAATAATATTCGCGATCTTCTCATAGCAAGGACAAGAGAATCATAAGTAGGGAGTGTAGGAATAGAATTCTTCCATAATAGTCCAACTTCATAACGATTTTTATTATTTAACTTTCTTGTGGTGTCCTTAAGAATTTGTAGACTTTTCTCTTCCGCATCAATTTTCCTGTCTTGCTCTGGGGGAAGCAAATATTCTAAACCTAATACGTCTTCTTGCATTTTTAGTAATTCTTCTTCTTCGGACTCGCTCATCTTGACAATAGAATGAGAAAAACTAGATTCATAGGAAGTTTCTAAAAGATGTTGATATAACATAGGCAGCGGACATCCACTTCCAATCACACAATAACCAAGGGGCGTAAGGAAAGCGATAGGAGAAGTATTTAATCGGTGAGTTGACATAAAGCATTTCTGTTGCTTAAAAAACCAACTTTGGTCGGTTCCAATTATCCCAACTATTTTTGAATAAGTATACAAATCCAAACCTCTCAAATGAGGAAATTTCTTCTTCATTTCAACGGCATCAAAATATTGGTTTGGCATGCCTAAATTCTTCACTGTACGAAAGAAGATCTCATAAGTTTTAGCCTCTTTTTGGAGGCCAGTCGCAAATGCTTTGACAATTCTTGAATTTACATCTTCTCTTTTTGCGCCACCACTCCAGTTAAGTTGTATTGCTTTTGAGGGACCAGTGACTTGGAGAAATTCTGCGTAACACTCCTCTATTAGACTAGAAGTACTACCAGAATCCAATAAAAAGGCTGCTGTTAAAGTCTTCTCTCCATTAGTTAGAACAATGGGAACCACAGAAACTAGAGTTGAGGAAGTGCCAAGCAATTTTAAACATGACGATGTTTCATCTCTTTGGCACATCATTTTTTGATTATTTTCCCTGTTGCTCCATATAGATAGATTTTGAGTTGATAAATTTTTATTAATATCATGAAAGCCTGAATTTAAAGCATTTAGAATATTTTGAGGGACAGGAATTGGTAAATTATTTGCATTTTGGTGACATCCATTTACAGCGGATGAACCAGGATTTTCTGTACTATTGAAAACATTTTGTTGATCGCCTAAGTTTGCAGATTGACTTCCCTCCGGTGAAGAACTTGAATCATTTTTGTCATTCTTTGGTCTACCATCCTTTCTACTGTTTTTAAAATGAGTTGATGCTTTCTGACATTTTCTCTTATAACAAAAGATAGACGAATGCTTGTAGGTACAGCCGGGTATAATACAGTTTAAGCTATACATATAGGGACACTTTGCGTGACCTTTTCGACTACATATTATACAAATACCTTTAGCCCTAGCTAGCTCACATACCTCTTTGCCAGTTTTAGCTAACAAAGCGTAGCAAGTTAGTGAGGAATGTCCTCTTCTTTCATGCATCCAACAGTAATTGGCTGGAGAGTCATTAACATTATCACCAGAATCTGAAAATGACTTTTTTGAGCTTTCTGGCTCTTGCGTTGTTTGTGAGAAAGTTACATTTTTGTCCTTGCCTTTCCAAGAATTTTTATTTTGGAAATTAGACTTTTTAATTTTCGGTTTCGTTTCACCATAAGAATTTATGTCTTGAAATAACTGATTTATCTCATAACCCGCTATTCTTTTATCTAACCAATGAGCCATGTCATTAATATAAACTTCCTCATTAGCATCCTTCATACGAGCATATTCAGCTGACCATAATGACATCATATTATCGGGAAGTATCAGAGTTAATTTGGCAATTAAGGCTGTGTCAGTCTTATCACTGATATTTCCAAGCTTCTCAACCAAAACAGCATATTGCTTAACATCCTCTATGAAGTTAATAATCTCCTTACGTTCATGATTTCGAAGTTTAGGTGAATTAATCAATTTTTGCTTTTGCTTAATTAACAATTTCTCAGGCCTTCCAATTCGTCTATCCAGTTCTTGAAGCGTTTCATCATATGTGGCTTCCGTAAATAAATTGATTCCACCTAATTTTTTAATTTCATCACATTGCAACGCTTCTTGCAACCTTACAATATTTTCATTCGATGAAAAGAGTTCCTTAGACTGTTGAAAGGCGTTATAGAAAATTTTCCATTCATATCCAACTGTTTTTACTTTGGGTAGTTTATAATATGCTTTCTTCTGACTTTCTTTTAATTGCATCTCAGCTACTTTACGACTTAGGTCTTCTGGAGGATTAAAATATTTACGAAGAGAATCTTGGACTATTTTATCTATGTCTAGTCTGTTATTAACTTCATTACTAGGGTCATTAATCTCATTTTGATTTCTTATTTCAGGTTCACGAGGACGACTAGCTTGTGCTTTGTGCTGATTCATGTATTTGACAATAGAAGCTTCAACCATTTTCTCAATAGCTGCAGAATCATTATTTTTCAACGTAGTTTTCGGAGATTGGGATTGTGAATTCATATCATTAACTTGGACTACTTCTGCTGGACAATTATCTCGATTTGTAGGCGTTGATTGAGCAAAATGGTTATTTTTACTATCACTCTGAGTATTATTATTCACAATCGACATCCCCCGTTGATCTTTAAATATGTTAGCTATTGCCTTACCGATGGTCTCCGCGATATTAACATCGCTATTTGCCTCACCTCTGTTTCTATTCATTTCATTCCCTAAATTTAATATAGAACTTTTATTTGCTTTGGCTTCATTATTTCCTGGTAACGAAGATGCTATTCTTTGATCAAAAGGAAATTGCGATAAACGAGGCTGATTAAAAAATGGGTCATCCAACCGCATATTTGCATACATTAAAGCCTGTTCTCCGTGCTTCTGTTGAATTATGTTTAGGTCTGTACCAGCATAGTTCATTAGTAGTCTGTGCTCCTCGAAACGATTTTTACATGAGACACAAGACCAATAACCCTCTATATGAGAATTTCTGTTCTCATCTGAAATGCAATCGTTGTGCCAAAATTTTCTACATGCTCGGCATTTAAAAAAAGATCCTTCAACCATAATATTACATTCTTCACAATTGGGAGCGAAAGGTGGTGGAGGAAGTTTAGCATTGGGTTCATTAGGAAATCTATCTAGGCAAACATGGGTTTCTTTTTTCTTGGGATGACATTCTTGTTTTTTAGGAGTTTCATTTTTATCCATCAGACCGGGAAGCATCTCTTTAAGGAGACTCATAGTATTAGATAGGGATTTTTGAGCATTTTCATCGACTTCTTCATTTAGAGTCGTCAGACATTGAATGATTTCATTAACCTTTTGTACAGTTACTGTCGGATTGGATTTAGCAACTCTTTTTGAATTTGAAGGAGCAAATTGTTTGTGATCATTGCAATAATATTGACCATTGGCAGGAAGTTCAATCCTGCTTACACAAAGGGAATGAATTCTTGCTTCGCAAATGACACATTTTAAGTGATTAAACTTTTTAGTGAGATTAATATTCACATGACAAATTTCACATGGTGCAGTCTTTTTCCTGCCCATTTTTTATTTTTAAAGTTATATTAATTAATCAGTTTTAAAGAAAAGAATCTAGAATAATTAATTCTCGACAGAGAATGAGAAAGCTTTTAAGAGCTTTTTGTTACGCACTAACACAATTTTATATGTACATGTATGTATTGGCATATGCCATTCAAATGGCCTTGTCTTTGTTCTATTCTTTTCCTTGTTAGAAGTTTTCACGTGCTTCTTTTAATTGATAATTTTTTTTTTTTTTTATTATTAATATAACTAATTGGATATTTATTAATGCAATTTGAATCCTTTAATATCAAAAAATTAACACTTTACGACACTTCGTATATTTTATTAAGCCTTTCAGACCAATAAATTTTGAATGTTAAGAAATCCCTTTTGATTTCTTTAATTTAATGCACTTTATGTGCGTATTTTTAAAAAATAGTGAACTTAATTCAGTCACTCACCCTTTCCTGCAAACAATAATGAACAGCTGAAATTCGAGGAAGAAATATTTTGCGTTCACAAAGAAAATCCCACTTTAGCTCAATTTCAATCGACTTTATTCAGCTAACCTTTCGATATCTTCCGTTCAAACTAATTACAAATAAATCAATTAATATATTATAATTAAAAACATTCTTATGCCTCACATTTATTCTGGATCAGGGAATTAAATTGCTCGAAGTGTCACTTCTGAGTTTCAGCTCTATACTGATCTTCATACCCACATTTCACCATTTAAGTGGTGAGTTTGGGCAATTATGGTGAACAGTTCTGAAGATTTATTTGAATATATGAATTCAGTTAAAAAGGAAATGTGAAGCAGAATAATTAAAATCAAGAATTACTGAAATTCTTGACAATCCAGATGCTAGTATATCCTTGTATACCTAGCAAAGGAGGCAGATTCTGTGCCAAAGACCTCAAAACTACACCCAGCACACGAACCGAGCTTCGTAACTAGAACGGTGAAATGGAAAAAGAGCTTCGAAAATTAGACATGGGCTGGGATTGAACCCAGTACCTTTGGCACAGAAGGCCAACGCTCTACCATTTAGGTCACTGATGCCATTTCACCGCTTTTTTTGAATCTTGGATTTGAATCTTATAAAAACGTTAAAATAAAATTCTTCTGAATTCAAGAGAAATGTTAAATGACAATTCCTTCTGAACTCAAGAATTTTTTGGTTTGTGAAAATCGATTTACTTGCTTAAAATAAGAATGGTTAATTAAATTAATCGACGTAAATAAAATGCAACATGTCGGGAAAATTTCAAATTTATAAAATCGTTATAAAATCAAATTTTAAATAACTGTTGAAGGACAAAAAACTTTGAACTATACAACGCAGATGCTTTGCTAAAGGCCAAGGGTCAGACACTCCAACAGAATTGTAAGGATTGTACAATCCTTACAATCCTTCCATACGAATTGTGAGGATTGTACAATCCATACAATCCCTACAATCCTTTTCATATAAGGATTGTAAGGATTGTACAATTCCTACAATCTTTCTATATGAGGATTGTAAGGATTGTACAATCCTTACCAAACAAAAAATAATGTCCATTTATTTTTAAAAAATAAGATAAAATACAAAAAATGAAGAGTCTGAAATTTCTTTGAAAACAATTATATTTAAAATGCAATAATTTACCGTGAATCAATTCGAATGATTTTTTATACATTTCAACTCATTAAAAAGTTGTAAAAAGTATAATTTTTACACCGGTGAACAGGGTGAGTGATTTAAATCAAAAATCAAAATCAAAATCTTTTTGCAATGATTTTTAAAAGAAATTTTGATTTAAATCATTTTTGTATGGGGATTTTTTTTTTTGGGATTTTGATTTAAATCTATTGTATGGAAGATTTTATTGGAATTTAAAAATCCATCGATGTAAAATTTTTGTATTCAATTTTTCAAATTATTTTTCAAATCAACAGTTTTTAGTTGCAGTTCCTAAAGTAAGAATGCAGTTGATCATTTTTTGGACAGAATCTTGCAACTGGATCTTTTAGATCCAAGCAGTTCTTAAAGAAAGGTTACAGCAACCAATGGTTCCATGCTGTTTGACTGAAACGAATCCAATTCGTGTTTTTAGCGCATTTTCCTATCAGGAAATGACGCTATTGTTTATCTTTTGTGCCTTGATGTACGAAAGGAACCGGCCATTTCCGCAAAAAAATTTTGATTTCAAGAGGTGAATCCTTGATGAAAAAGCAACAAAAAAAAATTTTTTGTGGATGTAAAGGAACTAGGCAGTTTAAGTGCCTATTCTTGCTTATGACTCATTAAACTAATGTGGTGTAATAAAATATATTTAAGTTTTTTAAAGGATTCAAAGCAGGTAAATCCTCATATGAAGTAAGATCCAGGCATGATTGATAAAGTCCAGTTATTTATATGCAAGGATCAACTGCATTCTTACTTATTAGGAACTGCAACTGAAAACTGTTGATTTGAAAAATAATTTTGAGAAATTGAATACAAAAATCTTGCATGGAGGGATTTTAAAATCCCAATAAAATTTTTCATACAAGAGATTTAAATCAAAATCCAAAAAAAAAATCCCTTTGAAAAAATGATTTAAATCAAAATCATTTTTAAAATCATTGCAAAAAGATTTTGATTTTGATATTTGATTTAAATCACCCACCCTGGTTATAAATGAAAAAATTGTTATATCAAGCTTATTTCGTTCTTTAAATTCAAACAAATAAATTTTTAATATTAAATTAATATTTCTTCTCTAATAACCCGTGAAAAACATTTTTAAATGTTCCATACAATTATTTAATCCTTTCCATATAAGATTGTAATCCGTACAATCCTTCTCATATAAAGATTGTAAGGATTGTACAATCTTTACAATTCTTCCATATGGATTGTGAAGAATTGTACAATCTTTACAATTCTGTTGGAGTGTCTGACCCTTGCTAAAGGCAAACGTTTAGAGTTTAATAAATACTGATCGATAACACAAAAATGCGCTAAAGTCTCTCGATCAATAACACCAATACTTATTTAATTTCTTCATTATTATTTTCGTTAACAGAACTGATGACATCAATGATGGTCCATCAACGAGCAGAATTCCTGATATCATCGATTTGGTGAGCAGTGATGACGAGAAGACTGAAAGCGTGATTTTTGATGGCCGTGTAGATCCGGACTCTGTTGTCACTTTTGATAATTGTGATGAGATTCGAGACTACATGGAGGATATTGTTCGTGACCGAGCCAAAACTAACGGCACTGTGTACGAGCTGGCTGGTGATGGTGACAACAAGTGTCTTGTCAAATTATGTGGCAACAAGGCACATCCGCTTCCAACTGCGCGAGGATTTTGCAGGTTCCATTCTTCTGTTGGCCATCTCTGCATCGGTCTGGTAAATGGAAGAATGTGTTCGACTGAAGGCTGCAACAACAAGTCCAGAATATTTGAAGATTTCTGTTCGGGCTGCTATTCTCTTCAACCTGATGCAAGAACAAAGAAAAAGCGCGATCAAGCAAGGCAATGGACGACGGAGAGAGTGATCGATGAGGCCAACAATATTGCGGTCAAGTACGGTGACATGGTGAAGCGAGATCCAAGCTTGTCTGTGTATTTTGGGATAACTGTGAGACACCCTAGCATTCGCCTTCGAGAACATTTGAAGAGCGGCAAGGACTTTAATGCAGCTACACTCGAGATCTCAGTTCCTGATGCTCATTCATTAGCTGAATTAGAGTTTGAAGTAGTTGCACGTTTTGCTGAATTGGTTGGTGGACGTCATTTAAGGAACAGGACTGCCGGTGGTGACTATTGGTTGCCAAACATGGATCGTGCAGGCGTGTTGTACGTCCTCTTATTTAATAATCACGTAACTCCTCATACTGCAACACCTCCCATTGATTTCCGAAGCCGTAGAGGATACCGTCACAGAGCTTTCCCAATTATCACCAAGCATCGCCACATTGAGCTACCACGGTTTAACAAAATCGTTGGAATTGCTGACATCTTGAGGAAAATGGGATATGACACAAACCACAATTTAAAACAGGCTCCAAAACATCGTGAAGTGGGACATAAATGTGAACAATGCGATCACGTGGCAACTTCGATGTTGGCTTTGGAGACTCACTTAAAAGTCCATCGCAACAAAGGCAAGCATATATGTAGACATTGTGGCCATCCATCAACTCGACTTGAGCATTTCCGTCTTCATTTAAAGACGATCCATGACGAAATTCTGCCACTTGCCAAACGACGCAAAGAGGAATATGCTTGAGAAAAGTGCGATCAAGTATTTCCACCGGCCAATGAACGTTAACTTCACTGCAAGTTAGAGCACAAAGAGTTTGTGACATGTCAGATCTGCAAAATACCTGTCTATAAGTACAACTTAAAAGCCCACGAAAAATGTGCTCTCTTTGCCAGCAGTATTTTAAAAGTGAAGGCTCGCTTTACATACACGTCCGACAGCAGCACAAAGATCAGGCTCATGATATTGCCACGAAGAAGAAGTAGTCAGGGGTGATGCTTATTTTTTTCCTTTGCCTAATGCGACCCAGAAATGGTTTGCTTTGAGTAACATTTTGGAACAGGGCTCGTGAGGAGTAAAAAACATTTTGATTTTCTGAAATCTGTTATTTGTGTGATTGAAAAAAATCATGATTTTTCAAATCCTACGTAAATCTTCACATAGGATTTCATTACGTAGACAAAATCTCAACGTAATGATTTTCATTACGAATTCAAAATCTTTCCGTTAGGATTTAACCTAGGTAATTGTTTACATTTTTTGGAAACTGATTGTTTTTATTGAAACTTGACAAAATTAATGCCTTAAGGACATCAAATATATTGATATACTACAAAGATTGACTTATGAGCTCGGAATAGCAAAGATAAATATATTTTAATAACAATATTATGCTCTATATCAAATCAAAATTAAATTTTAGGAATAATGAGGAATTTAAGTGACACAACATAATGTCTTCTACGGATTTTGGCAATAGATTGGATCGTAAGTCACTCAAAAGAATTCTCAATGCGCTAAACGATCGCTCTACTGAAGACTGATTGCTAGGAGTAGCTGCAACAGCCAAACAAGTGTCCAACATGAGCCTTTCATACGTAAATTTAAACTTCAAGAACTTAAATATATCAAAATCATCAACAGATGCCGAAACTCTAGGCTGTATGCAGCATTTCATAATTTTTTCTAACACAGCTGCTTCTTTACTTCTTTTAGATCCAGTTGGAAGTTGATCTTCATCCAAATACTTGTCGAATTCTGTAAGATTGGAATTTAAATGGGCTTGCTCAGCTGTTTTTGGATCATTTGAAATGAAAGTTTCAAGTTTCAATAAAAACAATCAGTTTCCAAAAAATGTAAACAATTACAAATTCACGTAGGTTAAATCCTAACGGAAAGATTTTGAATTCGTAATGAAAATCATTACGTTGAGATTTTGTCTACGTAATGAAATCCTATGTGAAGATTTACGTAGGATTTGAAAAATCATGATTTTTTTCAATCACACAAATAACAGATTTCAGAAAATCAAAATGTTTTTTACTCCTCACGAGCCCTGTTTTGGAACGCTTTTTCTTGTGATTTTTTTTTGCCTCGAAGAAATCTCCCGTTACCGTTATAAAATGTTGAATAAAAATATCAAGATCAAAAATTAAGTTTGTTAAATAAAATAATATCTTAAATAAATCACCCTATTTTTTTTTTATATTTTAGAAGCTTACTAAAGAGGATGTAATAAAACCCAGTTATTATTTAAAAGTTTTCGTTTCACACCCGGCCGGAACATTAGTGTCGATCCTTTGACAAATTATCGAAAATCAAACTTAAAAATTAGGTTATTAAAACTTACTTCAGGAGGAATGTTTGCTGTGTCACCGGCTACATTTGCCCACCACACCATGAGATATGAATATGCTGCGATCCAAACAATAGAGCCGATAAATGTTACAGGAAACCATTTCTTTCCTTTTGGAGTTCGAGTATCGGGAAGTGTTAACCATAATGGGAAAATTATAGGTGCTACCAACAAATATGTTATTCGATCTTTTGTCCCTGAAGGCCAAGCCATGCTAAGTGCCTCTGGTTCGTCATCATCAGGTCCCTTATTTTAAAAGGTAAAAAAAACTTTAACTTAAAACCACAAATTTACAGCAAGTTTATTGCTTACCGAGTCTAGAGTTGTATCAATGTTTCCATTTGGACGTCCCAAAGTCGTTTCTTTCAAATTGATTTTTATATGATTGGCAGCTGACGATGTTGCAGCACCTCGTTGGGGTTTCGTAGCATCCAAAAGCACTTTGAGAGAAGCGATGGCATGAAGTTGGGTTGCTTTCTCATCAACTTTACCTGGAACAGATTCTTTCAATCATTAAGTATTTTCATATTAGATTATTTTGGAGAGTACTAAAGAATCCAATTATATTAATTATATTAACCAACATATAAATATACAAACATATAACATTATTATTTTGGTAACTTTCTCTTGTTGCCTTTTATGCTCCACTAAACATTACTAAAATAAATCTATGTAAAATTAAATTCTGCACTTAAATTCATTGCAGAAATAAAAATGTCAATCTAAAATTTTACTTCTAATTCATTTGTTAAAGCAAAAAGCAGCAAATGGCAGTTGAAATTGAGGAATATTTTAAATTAGAAAAGATTTTTGAATGGTTATGAGGTATAAGGACTTTAATACCGAAAAACTTTTCTTATTGATCTCCAAAGTTTGAAAAATTTGCTGTGGTAAGCTTAGTAAAAATTTAAGTTCGAGATATCATTAACTGTCAATATAATCAATATTAAAATCCTTATGAGGTCACTTAATTCGAATGATTTATGAGATATAAATTTGGTTATCACAGGTTTTCAACAATTTATTAGTAAAATAAAACGTGATTTACGTCTGAGCAGATAGGATTCAACAATTGAAAATGGCACAAGTGCATAAAAAATATAAAAAAATATCTTAAGAACATTTGAACATTGGAATCATGGTTTTTATGAAAAAGATATATTTGAGATGAAACATCGAGAATATTGTTCAATATCTTTTAAATAGGTTAAATGCACATGTGGAAAATATTAAAAATATCATTTTGCTTGAATTCATATAGGAATGCAGAAAAAATAATGAGATCAAATCAATTTCAACAATTTATGAATATGGCATGAAGCACACTCGTGAGAGACAACTAAAACCAAAGATTGGGATTTGAGATATACATTTTTTTAGATTTAATCTCTTAATAAACAAGATTCTAAATAAGTTTTTAAAAAAAATATTGCTTCATATAAAGTTTTGGCTTTTTCGCATTATTTATCGAATACACAAAAAATGAAGAAATGTTCTTTATATACAGCTTATATACAAATGTCTCTCTCTTGCTTTGAAATATGTTATGACATAGTTTACTTTAAAACTTTTCAATATAATTCAGCTAACCTTTTATAAAGCATAGATAACAAAAAGGAAGGAAATAGGTCTAATGACAAAAATAAGTGATTATTTTTACAATTGTTTTTTTTTTTTTGTAGCCAGAGATTAAGTTTTCAAAATCACAAATTTTGTTTGTGAACATGAATTTGTTTCATTGCTTTGGTTCACATATTAAAATATACACGAATATATGAATGTTAAAAAATTTAATCCTTGGCCTTGTGAAAATGAGAATACAACGATTGAGTTTGATTAATAATATACATATTTATACTGAATTTATTTAGCAATATACATAGCATTTGTATAGAGAAAAAGAATATTCGTCATGAGTAAAAAGAAGCTCAAAGCACACGTCAAGCTTTGTATAAGTATAAAGCATATATATTTTATATTTGTAGCATTTTCCCTATTCTCTAACAGAAGAGAGGAAAAAAAAATCTTGATAGTATTCATCTATTAGTGTACGTGTGTATTGTATCTATCGATAAATCTCTCTTACATAAAAATATATACACATATGACAGAACAAGCGATGAGAAGCAGTTCAATGAAATTTATGAAGAATAAAGGGAAAAGGAATCTTTTTGTGAGGCATCTACACATATGAAGTTTTGATGAATAGTAATTTTTCTTATTTTCTTTCCTATAGCTTTGAGATCAAAAAAGAAAAATCTCATCGAAAAATGCATTTAACCCTTAAAGATTATCATGAAAACTAAGAAAATTTTTACCAAGTACGTTTACGGTCTTTCAATGATGACGTCCAACATTAAGGGGTGTAAAATTATAAGCTTTTTGAGCGATAAGTGGACGTCATTTATTAGCGACCTATTTCGTCTATGTATCTACACATTCATTTTTAAAGAAACTATATAGGAGTTTTTCTTTAGAAAACTAAAAAAACAATAAAATTTAATAAGTAAACTTTTTTGAAAATTCGCATCTCCATTTTAATCACATTAAATAAAAAGTTGATATGTTTGTTGAGATTAAATTATAATAGAAAAATCGATGAGAATAAAGGAGGCAATTGAGTGGAAGCATAAAAATTAATGAAATTACTTATTCATCGGTGATAAAATAAAACAATGTTGGAAAATTAATCAAATCATAAAAGGATATTTTTTTGCTTAATATTCAACGCATTTTTGCTTGTCACTATCGGCATGTTTCACTAAAGTGGATTATCCTCGATTTCGGATTATCCCCTTCAGTTTTTTGGAAATATCTCCAGACGCTTAAGGTTATTAAGAGATCTAATGTGTGATCTAGCAAGAGTACTTTGCTACTTAAATTAACATATGCTTAGAATTTTTATATCTTCATTCGTTTGAGAATTATAGCAAAAATCGAAGGTTATCTACTAGATTTGCCTAGAAAATTGAATAATTGATAGTTCTTAACGAAAAGTAAAAGTTTAAAGTATACAAAAATTTCAGGCATAGCTCACTCTATTATAATCCAAAATTAGAAATACCACACCTCCCATAAAGTTTAAGATATTTACAAAAAACTGAAGTGGATAATCCGAAATCGAGGATAATCCACTTTAGTGAAACAGGCCGTATATGATTTGAACACTAAATTGGTTCAAATCAATGGAAAAAGTTCAAAGCGCACCCTTAGTTTTTGAAGAGAAATTACTAAGCGAAAATTTATTAACTGAAATCATGAATTTTAAAGATTAATAAATTCTCTATACTTTAAATGTTCATTTTTTGACATAAGAAACACAATGGATAGACTCTAAAGTTAAAAAGATTATACGATAAAAATCATAAATCATATGCAAGCACTATGGTGGTAAATTAGTTAACGAGTTATAAGAAAATTAAGCAAGAGATTATGTCAAGATAATAATACTCAAGGGCTTTAAAATGCTATTAGCAGAACTTTTTTCGTTTGTCTATAATTATTCAACCAGCAAGGACAAAACTGCGTTAAAATATTAAACTTTTCTTTCTAATATTGATTGATTTTTTGTTCTTTCATCAAACAAGATGGAATAAATGAAGGTGAAAAAGGAAATCAAATGAATGAAAAATGTAAGAAAGAAATAATGGATAACACAAAACAACTGGTCGAGAAGTAAATGTTATAATACATATGAAATAACGAACGAATAAAACAATACACAACCAAAAAAGAATTTAAACACAAAGGAAAGGATTCATAAATCATTTTAGATGTCACAAAAAACCGATAACAACGCGAAAAATGAAAAGAAAAAGAAAATGAAGAGGGGAAAAAATAGAAAGAAAAAAAGAAAGGATAATAATGAAAATTAGGGAACGAAAGAATAAATATTCGAAAAATCATAAAAATAAAATGATTTATGAAACAGCAGAGAGAGTTCTATGAACCTTACCATCGTGCAATGGGTCAATAGTATGTATCATTAGTTGCAGTAAACCGTGTCGGAATTTCGCTCCAGTGGCTGTTTGTGCTGTGCTATTACCTGGTGCGCTGCTTGATCCTGGTCCCGATCGACTCTCAGATGCGGCACGTGATGTAACAGATCCACCGCCTGCCTGAGTTGCCATTGATGTCTCAGATGAGTTTGCAGCATTACCCTGTTTTATTGTTATTATTATTCCATTTCATATTGATGAATTGATCATCGTCATGTTTCAGATATTAGCACATATTATTCATGTGTACAGTCATAATGTTGTTGATGACACATGAAAGAGTAGGAGAGAAAAAAGAAATGTTAAAAAATTAATTTGAGAAAATATATTGCGCGTTTTGCGTCTTGCTGCGCAACTGAATCAATACAATATTACAATACAACATTTACATAGCATACACAAGCAAAAATATTGGAGAAAGCTTATAAATTATCTAGAATCAATCTTGTTACTACATCTCTCAATCACACTCGTTATTTTCGTTTTCATTTTTTTCCAAAAACACGCATTCTATAAATGTTGTGAGAATTTCAACTGCAAAAGACTTGATTTTGATTCCGATATTAAATTTCGTACATTTTAAACTTTTAGATATTCAAACCACGACAAACGGAAAAGAACGCCTAACCAATGGCATATTAAAACTGATAAGTTGATCAAATTAAAACACGGTTTGAAATCATTTTCTGTTTTCTAGATAATTTGTATTATATTAAAATAAATTTCAAAGCCATTTTTATTGGTTTCAATATTGAAAACCACTTCACAAATCTAGTATTAATCAAAACTATTAGCTTTAAATATAGAAACATTTATTAACTAGCCTGCAATAAAAACTCATTCTAAATCAACATACTATTCTAGAGAATATGCTAAAGTATAAAAGATTAATTAATTCTTAGTTGTGTTCCTTGTTGGCTTCTTTGCAAAACAATATTATAATTTATAAACCAGAATTTTACTAAAATAATAATAAGTAACTATTATGTTAGCACTATATTTAAAATAAGTGTATAGAAATTATTAGAACAAACAGAAAAAAAATAAAAAAGAATTCAAAGTAATACGTATCATAAAAAAATAACACAATGAAGCTAAAGATTGTCAAAATACCTGAACCTATACAAAAAAAAAATAACACTCAATTTGTTTTCAATTAATTTTAAATGTGTTAATAACACATTTTTGGTCATAGAATATCCATGATGACACAGAACATCAAAAAGTACTAACAGGTCATTGTTAATTAAAAAAAAAAAAAAACAAAGAATAAGAACATAAAATAATCCAAATCGAAACAAATTTAACAAGAACGAAATAATAATTTTTTGTTCAATTGTTATAGTTCTGAGCTTTATAAATCCAAGATGGCAAAATCAATGGCATTTAATATTGCGATAAAAAAGACAGAATACATATCACATATGTTAACATTGCATTGAACAAAAAAATTAAGAACGAATGGATATTAAAAACTTTTGAAAAAACCAATATAAAAGATATGAATAAAATTACATTTTCGCTTTTTTTTCTTCTATAAAGCAATAAGTTTAAAAAGTCACATGTTCATGAATTATTGAAAATATTATAGTGACTGATTAAAGAATCTGCATTAAGAATGTCGACTATATTTTAATTTTCTATTAGCTTTTATCACATTTTTTAAAAGTATCAAAAAGGGTAACACAATGATTTGACTTAAGATTTTCAGACTTGAACCAAAATCTTATGACTCCTATTTTTTTATCTTAGGCTGAGTGTGGAACTTTAAATTAAACAACTGCTTCATTTTAAATCATAATTTTTCTTTTAATCTGGTAAAGATAATAACCAAAAATTTAGAGTAATTATTAAAAATTCCAGAGTTGGATCATTCACAAACAATCAAGAAAACTAAAATAAAATTATTAAAAAGCAAGAAAAAACTGCGAAGAAAAAAATCTTGAAAAGAAGAATAAAGGATTGAGTTTCTAAGTTTTTATAATTTGGTAGTTGTTTATAAAAATTATAAAGTATGAGAACAAACATAAAATCATCATGGCTTCCAATTAGAAGCATCATCAACGATAAAACAGCTAAGACTAGAGACGATGAATTGTAACATGATTCTATTTTATGTTTATTGGAGAAGAAGTAAATAGCCAAAGAAAAGGAAAGAAGAGAATATAAGAAAACAAAGAGAAGAATACTTTATTGTGTCTATAAATTGAACGGAATATTTCAGCGGATATCAGAAGTTACTTCATTACTGTTTTATATTAAAATCAAATGCCAAACAAATTGACAACTATTAGATTCTTTTATCTACTTGTCTCCCAAATTTGTCAATAAATCACAATTATTTCAATAATGTTGCACCCCTTTACCTAGTCGTTTCAATTAATTGTTAATAAATGATTGAAAATGACACGGTGTTGGTCATTGATTTTGTTAAAAAGCAGTTTCCAATAATTCCTGTCATATTTTGAAAATGTATATTATTTTCACAGCAAACGTACACTTAATACCTGATAGTTTTTTGATTGCATAAACGATATGTTAATTCGGGGGTATATATTTCCATGGACACATTGATGTATCCCGAGAGTATTAATATACATGTATACTTTATAACATGTTTCATTCCCGTTTAATTTATTCAATTGGGATATCTCAATGGTAGTATTTATTTAATGTTGGAGAATATTAAACGCTTGAAATTCTATTTTGTTAACATTAAACGAGATTTTCAACCGATAACTAGAATTGATAGCCTCATCAACTTAATTCATATTCATCGAAAATGATGGTCCTTAAGTGAGTATATAATAACCTTGATAGCACAAAAATTTTCAAGGATGATTTTAAGTGCTGATTTATGATTTCTGGTTTCATAACTTTAAGCACTCATTAGGAACTTGTATTTCTTTTCCTTTCCTGTGCTGTATTTAATCGATGTGATACGTACTCAAAAAAAAAACATCTAAAACTTTCTTAATGTTCTTAATATTGATTTTTCTCTCAATTTTCACAAAATATATTTTTTCGTACTTTCTCTTCCTTAAATATTTCTATTAATGATGATGATATCTCATTAGTCTTCAAAAATGAAATCATTTCATTGTTGATAAGTACGCTATCCTTGTTTGCAGGTGTAAAAAATTCGTGGAAAACAAAAAGATCAATCTAATTTGATAATGATGAATTATTAAATATCTCAACTTTAGTTTAATAAAATCAATATTAAGTGCCGTCATTTATATTATAAAATCTTAATAAAGAAACCAAGCTTTGATTGGGGTTTAGGTATTTTTAATAAATCTTGGCTTTCATAGTTTACGTAATTCGGATAAATGAGAGTAGATACCATAATGAGTATTTTAATATAAAAAGACTAATTATCATCCCATGACTAAATGTATAATTTTCTTAGTTTTTTGCTTCATCTTTATCACTACTGGGGGTCCTCGATTTGAGTAGTTGTTTTGTTCCAAAAAATTTCTACTCAAATCGAATCTATTCAAATCGAGGCAAAGAATCCATACAAAATTACATGTTTTGTTCCAGAGTCCAAAAAATGAATCAAAACAATGAAAATCTTGATCATTTTTTGCACATTTTACCTCGTTTCTTAACTTTTCCTTTGTGTTTTAGATAACTTAATTTATTTCAACGCGTATTCATATTGTTTTTAAACGGAAATTCACAAAAAATATGTTTTTGAAACAAAACAAAAATATGAGAACCTTGCAAATGTTATTTCACTGAACAATTTGTAAGGTTTTTGAATTTAAACTTTTTAAAATCGTTGATTTTATATCGATTTTTTAAATTTTTACTTTAATTTTGTAATTTTAGTATTGATTTTTCTATCAATATGATAAGTTCACGCTTATCGCAGTAAAATTTATGTTTTAAAATATTTTCTGAAATGTTTTTATCAAAAATATTTGTTTTGTAAACAATTCAAATCGAAGAAAACAGGAAGAAATCTACTCAAATCGAATATTTTGGTGGGTAAAAAATTTTCTGTTCAAATCGAATCTACTCAAATCGAGGACCCCCAGTATTTGGCATTTGATCACATATTAAAATGAATTTTATTTTAGAATAAGAAGAAAAATGCTCGAATATTGGCTCAAATTTGGGATGGTAACTCGAAGGTCGTCGGTTCGAATCCAGCCATCTCCAAATTTGTTCTTATTCGGAAGTTTAGATACTTCGACTGCTTAATGTACGAGATCAAGCCATAATTGGGCATTTGGGCAACATTGGATTAAGGAACGGGTCAGGAACTTGAAGTGTAGCGGGAGAAATAGGAACGAGAGCTACAAAATTACCCACGAATGGAATATTGTTAGAACGGACCTGAAAAGTATCACGTCACGCCCACAGAAGATCGAAACGAGAGCCTTAGTTTATTTGAAACCTAGATATAAAGATAAGAAGTTTGACTTACATAATACTAATTCATATGTATAAAAATACAAAAGTGTAAAATGTGAATTATTACCAGACAGTATGTCGTCAATAAATGCAATAAAGTGCAATTAAAATGATAACCTATTTATTTTGCTTTCTCATTAGCATTTTTAGTAAAGCTGAATTTACCATTATTTTTCTTCTTTGGCAAAACAACTTAATTTCTCCTCTTTATTTTCTTCTTTCTAAATGTATAAAAATGATATAGTGAGTATAGAATTTGATGAATTCAACAAAAATTCTCAAAGAGAATTCATAAATGTATTTCCTCTTCTGAAAATATTTCGTTTTTGTTCTACTTGAATAAAAATATGCAAGTATATAGAATCTATATTCAAGCACTATCTCAAATACACATGAGTAAATAAGAATTTATGTATGAAAATAACACATGAGAGTCTGAAGAATGAACAATATCATTTGTTTAAAAAAATGAGAAAATAATCATTAGCCCACATTTATATAAATACTTTTATGAATGGTACAAAGAAGGTAAGCTTCGACTCAGAAGGGCACTAAAAATTTTCTGTTTAAACTTACCCCCATGATAATCATTAGCTAAAGTATACATACATAGCTTTAAATTATCTCTTTTCTTTATCCCTTTCTCTCATTTTTCTTTAAAATAACTAGCATAAAAAATTAATTTATATTTCATGTTTGCATGACATATACAGAAAGATATAATTATATTATATTTAGTCTCCTCTCCTGTTAGATACATACGTTAATAGCTAGAAACGATTATCAAATATTTGAATTATAAGAGATCCTGTTGTGTCTATGATTTTTGGGAAAATGAACGAATTTTAATGGGAAAGCAGTAGTATGAATGAAATGAAGATCAAATATAATTTGTGAAATAATGCAAATATTATAGAATATATAAAATTAAACTGAGAAGAACAATTCGAAGGCTGTAAAGTTTTTATTTAAAATGCCTGTTATACATTATTTCTCTTAATAAGTAACGATTTTAATAAAATTAAAAGTCTTTTAATTTTCAAAAATTGCCCAGAAGTATTGCATTGCTTTTCGTAGTGAGATTTAAAGTATGAAAAGGAATTCCAATAAAAATTATGACTATGAATATGCTAATGGATGAACACTTAATTTTTCTCCTCAAAATTAGATGCAGCGTCAATAAGACACTATTGAAAAGATTCAGAGAGTAAAATTTGTTGAAAAACGTCTAGAATTACCAACTTATTATATGAACTATTTTCATAATTTGTTTTTATTAAATTTAAAAAAGAAATTGTGATTTTCATCACCTATTTTAGAAATAAAAATTTAATCGATAGTCTCAATTTTCTAATTAAAATTTAGACTGAAAGGATTCTATAAGGAAGAGAAATTTCTCAAAAGTATAGTTATCATTACAATTAAAAGCTCTAAACCAATGATTTTTTTTTTTTAAATTAAGACCTATAACTTATAATTATTTATGAACAAATATGATCAAGAGAAGATGAGTGAAAGAAAAGTGTGTCAAAAGAATGAAATAAATGTGATAAAAAATTTAAAAGAAAGTAAACAAATTAGGTAATCAAAATGCAAGTCGCGCGAATACATGTCTCATAATGCAGTATATTTAAAAATTTAGAGGCGAACGAGCGATATTAGGCAGTTTCATGAGAGATTGAGGCAAGGAACTGAGGATAAAAATGCAGCGAAGTGAGATATAGAAATTATATGGATATACTAAAATACAAATAAGCGGGCATGCAACTGTAAACTACTTACAGCAGGCATTAGTTGGTCAGTGCTTCGTACTCTGGTCACCTTATTCTTATACACCACTTTCTTCACGGCCCTCTCAACTTGCTGATTAAACTTCATGAATACGGCGTACGTTACGTAGATGAGAAATAGCAGTAGTGCCTCCCACCAGAAGATTTTATTATCACGAAAAAAATAGATAAGCGTAAGGAGACTAACACTGTAGAATGTACAATCACGAAACAGCGGCCACCATGTCAATGTTAATAGTGTTTTCGAAAATAATGCACACATTCCGATAACAAACAAAATATTAAATACAGCCGATCCGACAATCGTACCGATACCGACATCATCGAATGATACAAATACGCCAATAACACTAGTAAAAAGTTCAGGCGCACTTCCACCAGCCGCCATAAATGTTGCTCCAGCCACATCATCTGTTATGCCGAGCTTTTCAATAATAACATCCAAGGAAGGCACAAAAAACTCGTCGCACACGATTGCAAGTGCAACAAACATATAAATGACACCAATGATGTGGAATACAACAGCACCATTTTGTCTCTGTTCAAATGTGAATAAATCTTCAGGAAAAAGAGGATCCTTTTTTGGTGGTTTTTCATGCTCTGTATCATTTGTATGATTTGTTGTATGACCTAAAATTATGGAAAAAAGAGAGAGGAGAAAAAGAGAAGGATAAATTAATAAATTATCGAAAGCAATTTAAGAGGTAACATTAAGGATGCAGAAATAAATTGCGCAGAATGGATGATTAAGGTGCACTTTTGACAAAATTTTAATCCTGATTAGCATTCATATAAACAGAAATCATCTAATATTTTTTATTTAAACATTCCGTTCTCATTTCATATAGAAATTTTGTAGACATTACGTCAGTAAAATATTTTCCCTTATAACTCGGTTCAAGAGAACACAATACACATTGTTGAAATACGCTGGAAAAAGTATTCTTATGATCTATGTATATGTTTTTACGTAATTTATGACGAAAATAGAAATTTCATTCGTTCATACATATACAGTACCGTTCAAAACTGAGTCCATGTTTGAAGAAAAATTTTCTTTTCAACATATTTATTATAAACTATTACATTTTCCCATCATGTTATATATCGTTTCAAAGCTTGTTTAATAAGCTATTTAAAAATGATAAGCAACTTTGGAAAATATTTAATTAAAGTAGATTTTTTGCTTAAAATATACACTGTCACATGGAAACACTTTTGAGCTAATAATTGTTTGTCCAAAATTTGAAGCAAAGCAGAACTAATTGGTTAAAGCAGACTTACGCCACCTTATATTCGAAAAAATTCGAAATGTCTTCGAAATTAATGTCGAAAACTTCGAAATTTGAGACGAAAATTTGAATTTTTATTGACCGTTAAGAAAAATGTAAACAAATCAAAAAATTTAAAATCAAAATCAATGATTTAAGCTTCTTTTAACAATGATTTAACTAAATTAACATAATCTTAATTATGTTTCATCACTATTAAATAGTTCACATTAGAAAAAAGAGCTTCAATTAACAATTAATTAACAAATTTATAATTCGTGAAAAAATTCACTAACACATTTACAACTTTTGTTTACTTTTGATATTTTTGTTCTGAAAATTTTTAAAATCACCAATTCTTGCATTTACTTAAGCATTTTCAGTTCAAAAACATTAAAAATATGTCAAAGATTATTTATTTTAAAGAACTAAACAGGTAAAAGCTTCGAATTATGTTGAATAAAGTTTTTTTCCAACGGTTAAAAAAGATTCAAAATATTTTAAAAAAATCGGTAAAACTTCTGTAACTGACAATTTTTAACGTGACGTTAGTCTGGGTTAAAGTTTGTTTATTATAGTAAAAAGCAATTAAAATATAAGATAATAGCACATAAATTAAGTTGCTACACATAGTTAAAATATTTAAATAATAATGTCAAATCGCATGATAATTTTTCATATAATTTTCCAAAAAATTACTAAATTAAAGCCAAATGTTGTGATGTTTGCATCTAAACAAAACAATAGTCCAATATGATCATTTATGATGGGGGGTAAAATCCCCGAAAGATATTAATTCCACGATCCTGCGGGATAATAACCCCGAAAATCGCAAATTTTTAAATGTTCCCTGCGGGATAATATTTTCACTTAGAAATACACGTGGAATTATTATCCTTCCGGAAAGATAATAATCCCACCAATAATTACAAGTGGGATTATTATCTCCCAGGTAGATAATAATTTCACTTACATTTCTAAGTGGGATTATTATCTTTATGGAACACGATTAAAATTATGGATTAAATCAAATCCAAAAACTTATTTGTCATAGTGGATAATAATTCCACTTGTATTAATAAGTGGATTTATTATCTAATAGGATTTTCATCCAAAAAAAATCCCACTTATTAATTTGTCAATTTCATTATTCCAAAAACTTAAATAAGAAGAAAACATAAATATTGGTTGAATGTTTAAGTTGAAAACTTGGTTTTTTATGCCTTTTGTAAATTTTCTAAAAGCCTAGAGCCTAGATGTTTAATGTATCAAAGATCTTTTCACTCAAGAAATCATATTCACACAAAATTTTCAATTATTTGTTTTTGCAAATAGTTTTGAAATGAAGTCTTTCAAAATTTAAAACGTGCGCAACTAATAAATCACGTTTTTATCATTTTTGTCATTGGCAAAATTTGAGTTCACGTGATGCAGGATAGAGGATGCAGGGTTTTTTGGTTTTTTGGAAGCAATTGCTGTTTCTACCTTACCCAATAAAAAAATTAAGCCCTATCCTTTTTAACGCAGCAAGAATCAAAATGCAATAATTGGAAGTCTCTAAGATGCCTCGTTATTGAGATTTTTGCTGATTTACTTGCCTTGATGCTTGTTTGCTTACAGAAAGCGTATTTTGCGATTTTCTCATCAATGCTACAGCCAATTTAAATTCTGTTTTTGCCCATTTGCCTTTTTTCCTCAAAATGCGAAAAACTGTTTTTCAAGCTGAACAAAAATAAAGTGTATACGGTGTGAATATAAAATCTTTTTAAGGATATAAAATTTTTTTATATTCAAATAGTTTTCACGTGTGAATCTATTGGTTTTGTTCAGATTGAAAAATCAGTTTTTCGCATTTTTTGAGAAAACGAAGCAAAATTGGTTATAAAAGGTCACAGAAGAAAAGTTTGTGCCTGAAATTTTACATCATTTTCAAAAAACAGATTTCAAGTTGGTTGTGGCATTGCTGAGAAAATCGCAAAATACGCTTTCTGTAAGCAAATAAGCAAACAAGCAAGCAAGCAAGTTAATCAGCAAGAAATCTCAATAACGAGACATCGTAGAGACTTCTAGTTTTTTACATTTGATCCGTGCTGCTCTATAGAAGAGCTGTATTGTTTTTGGGCAAGGTAGGAACAGCCGTTGCTTCAGAAAAAGCAAAAAACTTTCCTTTCTTACGAATTTTTTTAAAACAAAAGTTGACTGTGATTTTTATAAAATTCAAGTTTGGATGAAAAATTTTTTTTAAAAACTTTTAAAGAATGTTCGTTAAGCTTAAGACCTTCAAACTTATGCTGAGCGAAGCTCAGCTCACTCGCTAGCATTATATCTTCAAACTTATGCTGAGCGAAGCTCAGTTGACTTATCAAACTTCATACTGCTTCATACCTTCATACTTATGCTGGGAAAATCTTGGTCTATCCATTAGACTTTTGATGGTACGGTGTGAATATAATCCGCATTGGGTTTCTGCCCGATACACTAGTTCTGACAGGTTTTATTTTAAGCTTTTCTTCAAAAGAGCTCAAGTTTGAAAGAACTTACAAAATATTACGTTTGAATTTTGTACGAATCACTTTAATTTGCTGAACATTTTCAATAAATTTGTGGCCATCAGTTTGTTTAAGTAACCCTGTATACCTGAATAATCAGAATAATTTCGAAATTTTGAGATTATAAACAATCAAATCTCTTAAATGTTCTAAAACCATTGGAAACCTTCTTGGGGCTTGTAGACACGGTTAAACAGCATCAGAACTGCCATCATTTTAAAATTCTAGTTAATTTAATAGGAATTTGAGCAACAGAATTTTAATTTTGCGTCCTTTTTATGTTTAAATCTTTACATTTTTCTTAGCAAAATGTGTAAACAAATATTATGATTATATTTATAAATCTAATTTTGTTAAGGGCAATTTACAATTATTTGAATGACTTTTGGAAAATTTCAGGAAAGAATCGAAAATTTATTATTTTGCCCATTAGAGGTTAACATATCTACTTCTAAACATTTGAACAAAACTGTGATTTTTAAACAGTTAAATGAATGAAGTGAAACAAAATGGAATTACGGCTACATTTTCTTTAAACATTCGAGCGAATTTCGAACATAATTTTATATGGAATAGCAAACATCTTTAGATCAGTTGAACCCACCTTGATTTTATTTTTTAAACAATTTGGAATAATATATTTTTAAAAAGCAAACATTCAACCAATATTTATGTTTTCTTCATATTTAAGTTTTTGGAATAATGAAATTGACAAATTAATAAGTGGGATTTTTTTGGGATGAAAATCTTATTAGATAATAAATCCACTTATTAATACAAGTGGAATTATTATCCACTATGACAAATAAGTTTTTGGATTTGATTTAATCCATAATTTTAATCGTGTTCCATAAAGATAATAATCCCACTTAGAAATGTAAGTGAAATTATTATCTACCTGGGAGATAATAATCCCACTTGTAATTATTGGTGGGATTATTATCTTTCCGGAAGGATAATAATTCCACGTTTATTTCTAAGTGAAAATATTATCCCGCAGGGAACATTTAAAAATTTGCGATTTTCGGGGTTATTATCCCGCAGGATCGTGGAATTAATATCTTTCGGGGATTTTACCCCCCATCATCATTTATTATTATGAATTGGATTTTTAAGTTATTTTAATTATTTTGGATTGTCTAAAGTCGATATTTACGTAAAAAATTAAATTTTTTATAAATGCTTATAAAATTTTTTGAATATGGCTGTCATTGACCAACAAAATTGCAAAAAAAATCTTTTTACTTTCTCAATGACTACATAAATCATATATGGTTATCTTTGTAAACATAAAATCTATCAGAAAAAGCGATTATAGTTATTTTAAGTGGAGGAAATAATAAAAATTTTTGAATGTTTCCAATGGGTGCCTACAACAATGTAGACCGTTATTTTTTTTAAAATTCAAACCTGTTTCGAAAAACTTCGAAAAATAATTTTTTATAAAAAATTTTGAAATTTTAAAGACCGTTAAATTTATTTATGAACAAAAATCAATTCTTCGACGCAAATTTGTTTTTTGAATGTAACAATCGACAATGAAGCTCAAGTTTTGATCGAAAAGTTACAAAAAATAATATTAAATTTTCAATAGTCTTTGAACAATGCTCAAATGGAATTTCAACCTGACTAAGAACAATATCTGAAAATTTTGTCTTGAATGTGTTACAATCACTTACAGCAGAAATCTCACTTCCGTCGACACTTATGTTGTTTGATTTTAAAAATAACAACCATTTATCTTTGTTTAATGAGTGCTTAGGTACTTTAAAAAGATTTGTAATTGTTTTATTTTTGTTGCAGCATGCAA